TTCCACATCAACATCTTCAAGTTGTGAGGCTTTAACTGACTGGTGCAGGGTCGCTATTCTATTTTTATTGAGCTTTGGTAATGGGATGGGATAAGAAAGACAGAAAATTTGCAACATTTGAAAGGGATCGTGGAAGTCGTGGAATACAGATTTTCAATGCTGCAGATAACCTCAGATCCATCGAGAAGTATATTTTATTCGTCATTATGATTCTTGAGCGGCTAGGCTTAGAAGGAAGTAAAATTTGAAACGCAAAGCCCCCCCGATCAGTGGTTAAAGAAATAGCCGGTCATCAACCAAATCACCGTCGAGACCGATTCGCTTCATTGTGATCGTGAAAACAAGAGCCTTTCTGCAGGCACTAAAATTTCCGGAACGGAAGCATATCTCAATGCAATCTTTGTGAGGACAGGAAAGCTTGCCATAACACCATGCGATCACATCAAAGTTGTCAGGCTCTCTCTGCTGTCCCCTGCAGATCGTAAGATCATCGTTCGTCCTTCAACTCTTGGTTGACCTCAGTGTCGTCAACGTGGTAACCAGCCAACGTTATGATTTTGGAAAAGAGATCAAAGCCCCCTCGTCTCCTAAACTAACTGCTGATGATACTTTGTCGCCTTCGTCGTCGTCTGACTACCTGCCACCGTCGCAGATAGAGGTCCTCTTTTCTGCCTCCTCCCTTTGACAGTCTTATTCTTCATTTATCAACTCAGCAAGCAGATTCTTGGTGTAGGTGTTCATCTGTCTAACGGCGGTCTTGCATCGAAGTTCGGCTAGCTAGCAATAAATGCGTTTACACATGGAACCTTCGATTTGTCGTTGAATATGTTGTACTTCACTCCGGCTACCCGAGAGACTGATGAGTGGACGACTGGACAGTTTTGCTGCTCAAAAAGGTGAGTCTTCAGCTTGTAGCGGCGAAGGAATAACCGTAGAGAATGTCGATTGATTCGATTCCTCGAGTCGAACCGTGATCGCCTCAAAAGGCTTGATAGGTTCATGAAGTTTGCAAGCATATTCTAGGAGCGTATAAGGGTGGAGACGTTTGTGACAATCTTGATAAGTCTGCATTTGGCTTAACAGGCTTAATGAAACTTGGAGAGGTGTTTTGCGCTCTAAAAGTATTCCAAGCTGCTCGTTAAGCAGCTAGATTCCTCCACAACTTGGATTTATATCATCAATGGCTTCCCGTAGCCTCAGCAATCTCATCACCATACAGTTTCACTTTGTGTTTACCACTTTGATCACGCATACGGTCTCTGTCTCTGATATTCCCCGAACATCCAATAAATTGTTCATGCTTCAACCTTAACAGAAGAACATCAAGCATTCTCAATTTTCGGAATTACAAGTCATTTTTCAAGTCTAAACCGTTCAGAAGAGGGCTAATCCTCGGTCCCGTTATCCTTACCGAAAACACGTCAAGCTAAAGTTGCAAGAGAAGTGTGCTTTCAAAAGGGCTCAGCTAAGGACAGATGTATTGTCTATTGTCGAGATTGTACTTGCAACTACCGATTTCTGGTAGTTGCAAGTACAATCTCGACAATTGGACTTCTTGGGCCAACGATCCATACAGTGGAGTGATTTTATCTTGGCTTAGTCCATTTGAAATTTCGGTGGACGTGTGTACACAGCTGGTGCCACATCCACATACCTCCGATGAGATACTCAGTACTTTTCGCCTTCAACTTAGAAAATGAAGGCCTGAACTTAAAAAATGATAATGGCAAACGGTTGTTTTGCAGGGACTCCAATTTTTATTTCATTGTGAATTAGTGGAATACACTGAATGTATTCTTCCACCGTATATGTCATGTATAAGTCAGTGCTTGAGTTGCTTCCAAATATCGTTTACTATCCTGGTGGTGCTGGTCATTGGGGTAGCTTTGCTATATCAAACATCATGCTGTTTGCTATGTTGGAAATTGGGTCTTTTCTGTTTTTGAATCAATTCATACAGCGCAAGTTTAAGATCTCTCCTATGTACCAGGTCGCATACGTTCTTGAATCGCAAGTGTGGAAAGTCCAATCGATGTTATTTCTTGCGGTTTTTCTTCTACCGTTCGAGCTCGCTCATCACGGTATGTCACTTTATTAGCTA